ATGCATCTTGGTCTATACTTACTTCCTCTTCGTCGTAAGGTATGTGTGCTTGGCAAGACCGTTTTGTGCTTGAGCGCCACGAACAAACTCATAGTAAAGGTTCACCAAGGGCCTTAATTAGGAATAACATTAACAATATCTTTTAACTTTGCTGCAAATTATTGTATCTTTATCTTAAATGTATCAATTTCCTCAAAATAGCTGTTTTTGCACCATGGTTTGCCCATAGGCTGTACTCAACGGGAAGCCCTCCAAGTGGTCTCATAAGCTAACCTCTTCCAGAAGTGAGGAACAACTGTCCTGTTTTCTGGAAAAAATCTACTGTATAAACTGCATGCTGGTGCTACTCGTGTATGGACCAATGTATAATGGCTTGCTGTTCAGTAGTGCTATAATAGTATACTTAAATTAACTGTTTTTTTCACACGCCATCATATATGCCCTGGCTGTCCTACGGAATTTCTCATTGCAGGAGGCTGAGCAGGTCTTCCTTTCTGGTCCGGATTATCATTACAGGTCAGAGTAGAATATTAATTATTTTTGCACAATGCCCAGTGCACCTCTTGTTACTGATATTTCTGTTAGCCCAACAGTGATTGCTCTCTGATAACTATTTCAGTGAAGTGGAAGATTTTAATAGAAGGATTGACGGTAACACTTTCTATGAAGCCTGTATTTATAATACCTTATAAGGTTATTCTTAAAGCATTATAAGGAATTAATAATGCATTATAAGAAACCTTATAGTATGTTACATCATCTTATAAATAATCGTAAGAACAGTTTTAATGTATTATAATACTTATCTGTGGTTAAGTGTATGATGATTTATAAAAATAAAAAAGTGAAGTGACATGTGGCCAAGTATGGTGACCCATACTCGGAATTAGTGCTCTGCATTTACCCATCCAAAGTGCACACACACACAGCAGTGAACACACACACACCATGAACACACACCCGGAGCAGTGGGCAGCCATTTATGCTGCGGCGCCCGGGGAGCAGTTGGGGGTTCGGTGCCTTGCTCAAGGGCACCTCAGTCGTGGTATTGAAGGTGGGAGAGAGCACTGTACATTCACTCCCCCCACCTACAATCCCTGCCGGTACAAGACTCGAACCCGCAACCTTTGGGTTATGAGTCCGATTCTCTAACCATTAGGACACGACTTATAACACACAATGAACACATTGCATCCACTTAAATTACAATGGATTATATTTCTCATAGTTATAATGTATTATAGGTCTCATATCTTGAAATTGTTTAAGATCTGCACAATAACTTAGTACATCTTATTTGTTTTTACTGTAAAATAACAAATACAAAGTCTTCATGAAAACATTCCAAAATGCTTTAATGTGGTCTTATTGTTATTAAGTGCTCGTTGTCTGCTTTAAGTGAAGTAACTTCACTGTACTTAAAGCAGACAAAGACCACTTATAAATAATAATAATAATAATATTTTTTCTCAAACAGCCATAAGATCTGATATCAGATCAGATGAATGTGTACACATTTGCTTTGAACTATTTTGGTTGTAATATCAATTAGATTATTTTGATGGTAGCCTTTAGACAACTGTTGATAAGTAACTCTGCGACTACATGTCAACTAGCAGTCATTAGCGTATTAGTAGACTGTATGCTAAATCTCTGCTAACACTTTTTTTGATGGTTCCCCAAAAGATATTCTACTCACTATAAGCAACTTTGCAAGTACATCAACTTATTCTACCAACCCTAACCTTAACTAAGCCTACTAATACTCTAATGAGAGTTAGTTGACTTGTAGTTGCAAAGTTGCTCCATCAAAGGGCACCATCAAAATAAAATGTAATCTAATAAAAAACACACGTTGCATTTTTTCATTTGAAAGTATTACAACTGATCTTAAACTAGCTCACAGCAAAATTAATATTAACCTCACAGGAAACACTCAAAACAACACTCAACCACTCCTAACCACTCACAAGATGTAGTTATCTTAAAAAAACAATGTCAGGATAATCCATTATAAATTAAGTGGATTTGTCTGATGCATTTATAAATCAAAAATCACAATTGAAATAAAAAAAAATGTTCCTGAGATTCAATATTTTTAACAACATGTACAAACATTACTACAAACTAAACCACCAGGGTTCTATAAATGCGATCCTGAAACTGCAGCCTCCGCTATATTATCCAATTCGGTAGGTGGCGCTTTTGCAAAAGCATAGGGTCCTAGAACTGTGGTCCTGAAACTGCAGCCTCCGGTTGTGCAGGAACACCCTTCTCCCACGAAGTCGTGTTTTACTGTAACTTCAGCAGCTCTAGGCACGTGAACAAAAGCGCCAATCTCATTGATCGGCCAATTTTTAACGCAGCACGTCAAACCAAAAAAACGAGCCCGAGGCTTTTTTAAAAAATGAGGCGCGTCGGTGTGCACACTCATGCCCATTGGCGCCCATTGTTTAGTCACGAGGCCTTAAACGTTGGCGATAATCGCGCGCAATATTCGTCCCGGTATGAACAAGTCTTTAGGCTACTGTTTCCTACCTTTTCTTGTAACTCGATAAAAAACATTGCAATGAGCATCATCAGAGATGTTTAATTCACAATCATTCTGAGCATTATTCCTGCTGGCGTTCACATCAATCCACAAGTCGTTCTAAGGTTAAGCTATTTTCATTCAGTTCGATGTAAAAACAATAGGCTAAGTATTTCTTGCATCCTTTAATGTTAGCGAACATTGCAAATAAATTGGTTGCAAAACGGTATCCACTCACGTTTAACTTTTTGTCTGGTTGTTACGGTCAGAAAAAAAACTGAATTACATTACTATATGTTATAGCTTAGCCAATGATCACTAGATTTTATACAGATGTTACTATAATGATTCTGTAAATGGTGATCAGCACCCATATATTATATATAATGTGGAAGCTACTGCCTTTTGCCTTGGCGTGACATCTCACTTTTCGCAGACTAGCGAGTTTCACACTCTGGAGACGATATCGCCGGAAATGAAGTGTCCCCAACTAAGCAAGCCAGAGGCGACAGCGGCAAGGAACCAAAACTCCATCGGTGACAGAATGGAGAAAAAACCTTGGGAGAAACCAGGCTCAGTCGGGGGGCCAGTTCTCCTCTGACCAGACGAAACCAGCAGTTCAAATCCAGGCAGAAATTAGAATTTAAGTTTCTACATATTTAGTGGTAGTTTATCAGTGGTGACTGTCAGTTAATGCACAAAAATCAATTTAAGACGCCCAATCTTTTACATTTTTAACACACTCTGTTAGCTTTGATAATTTAAACAGACGAGTTATAAAAAAAATTAACCCACCTCACAGTTGTCAGGAAGAACAAAATTAGCTATATAGACCAAAAGCACTTTTTGTACCAGGCTGTAAAAAAAAAATTCTGATGTAAAGTTGGGCATTTTAACATGGGGAGTCTATGGGACTGAGTCCCTTTTGGAGCCAGCCTCTAGCGGCCAGTTGATGAATTGCAGTTTTAGTCACTTCCGTGTTGGCTTCAAGCGAGAGACTCAGTTTAATTTATTTTAATAGAAAAAATAGCTAATACAATTTTTTATAAATATTGTATACTATCATGCAATCTGCTCAAAATTCAAAATAAAAAAACTAAAAATAGTATTGAACAAAAATGTATTACATTGATTTTCCTATAAAAAACAAAACAAAACTTACATTTCAAGCACCAAGTGTGACCCAAAAATAAAGAGACTCGGAGTTTAATTAATTTTAATGGAAAACATATCTCGTAAAAATGTCATTAACATTGCATACTATCATAAACTTTATGATAAAATAAAAAACTAAAAATATTATTGAACAAAAATGTATTACACTGATTTTCTTACGAAAAAAAAAAACACACTTACATTTCAAGCACCAAGTGTGACCCAAAAATGAAGGAGCTCAAAGTTTAATTTATTTTAATGGAAAAAAAAATCTCATAAAAATGGTATACTAAATTCAAAATAAAAAAAATAAAAAATATTATTGAACAAAAATTTATTAAATTGATTTTCCAGAAAAAAAAAACAACAACTTACATTTCAAGCACAAAGTGTGACCCAAACATGAATTTAGTTTAATTTTAATGGAAAAAAATAGCTCATAAAAATGGTATAATAATTTAATAAAATCTGCTTAAAATTCAAAGTAAAAACTGCAAATATTATTTAACAAAAATACATTACATTGATTTTCCAGGGAAAAAAACCCTTACATTTCAAGCAGCAAGTGTGACCCAAAATGAAGGAGCTCAGAGTTTAATTTATAGCTCAAAAATAGCTTATAAAAATTTTATAATTGTGTACTATCATAAAATCTCCTCAAAATTCAAAATAATAAAAACTAAAAATATAATTGAACAAAAATTTATTACATTGATTTTCCAGAAAGACAAAAAAACAAACAAAAATGACATTTCAAGCAGCAAGTGTGTTCCAGAAATGAAGAGACTCGGAGCGTTAAATGCTTCAAAAGAATGTTTTTAATGTACAGCTGCATAAACACACTTTTCTCCAGCAGTGCTTTGAATGTTGATTTCAAACACATAATAATAATAATGATGATGATGATGATGAAGTAATTTTATTCTGATTTCTATAACACTAAAATTAAATGAACTCCTGAAAATACGGCCTGAGAAATATGACTCAAGAGTGTAAATATTACATATTATTTCACACTAACAACAGTATATTTGTCTCTGTGTGTGATTAGTGTTGAAATGACAGAAACACAGAGAGTCTCCGAAACATCTTCATCCTGATGATCTGAAACAGGAAAGGTGTGTGTGTGTGTGTGTGTGTGTGTGTGTGTGCGTGTGTGTGTGTGTGTGTGTGTGTGTGTGTGTGTGTGTGTGTGTGTGTGTGTTTAATTGTGTGTGTGAGAGAGA